GACGTCGAATTGACCGAGCGAGAGATTTCAAGTTCCGTCGGGACGTCCCGAACCAGCGGTTGATTTCCACACAGGTGGGTCGCGCGGCGCCGCGCGCACCTCGACCTCGAGCGCGAGGCCCGGGCCGACGCCGCGAGGGCGCTCAACCTCGACCCCGCGGCGGCGTCGACGCGGCGGAGCCCGCGGAGCCCCCTGGGGTCGCCGCGGCGCCGCGCGCGGCCCGGCTTCGGCCCCGCGGTCTCGGAGATGGGCGCGGGCCTCATCGAGGAGATCGCGACGCTCCTCCTCTTCGATTAAGGCGCGCGCTCACTCCTGGGGCGAGGGCTTGCGGCGGTCGGCGACGCGGACGTTGGGCGTCATGACGTCCTTCATGACGTCGTCGAGCGTCGCCTTGTAGACGGTCCGGTCCACGGGGCCCTCGTTGAAGGGCGAGTAGTCGTGCTGGAACTGGGCGTGGAACTCCTCCTCCTCGTCGGTCCACGCGGGCCGCGGCAGCGTGTCCGGGTCGACGGCGGGCTGCGTCGGGTCGTGGCGCCACTCGCAGATCCGCGAGATCGGCCGGAAGTAGTTCATCCAGCACTCGCCCGGCGTGCCCTTCTCGAGGTGGAGGCAGAGCTCGCGGCCCGTCGCCGTCGTCTCGAGGTGCCACATGCACTCGTCGGCCTTGATGGGCCCCCAGAGGTCCGCCTCGTAGTAGGGGTTCTCGCCCACGAGGCCCACGGAGAACCACTTGAGGTCGAGGCGGACGTCGACGTCCTTCGGGCCGGCCCAGTCCGGGAGCGGGAACCAGCACGTGATGGCGTCCATGGCCGCCTCGTAGTCGAAGGCGTCCTTCGTCGGGCCCACGTCGACGGACGCGCGGACGCCGAGCATGCCCTTGGCCTTCTTGACCTGCTCCTTCGCCCACATCTTCTCCTCGCGCTCGAGCTTGAGGCGCCGCTGGTCGCTCTTCTCCTGCTTCGCGCGCATCTTGTCCCGGTACTTGCGGAGCTTGACGACGCGCTCGCGCCGCTCCTCGGGCGTCATGTCCGCCATGGTCTCGCGCTTCTTGTCGGCGGCGTAGTCGTTGCGGTCCTTGTTGTAGGACATGATGGCGTGGTCCGCGAGGCGCCGCCGGTTCTTCGTGCGCGCGGCGGCGCTGTCGTACTCGTCGGCCTCGGGGTCCATGCCCATGGCCTTCTTCTCCTCGGCGTCCTGCTCCTTGTTGTTCTTGTACATGCGCGCCTGGAAGTTCTTCGTCAGGAGGTCGTAGTCCTTGCGGAGGCTCGGGTCGATGTAGAACTCCTTCTTCTTCCACTTGCCCGTCGGGTCGAGGAACCCGGCCTTGACCGCCGGCCCGTTCTTGTTCCGCTTGCGGCGCGGCGGCGGCGGCGGCGGCGGCACGAACGTGATCGGCGCGGGCTTGCCCTCGCACCGCAGGATCGTCTTCGTCGACACCCACCCCTCGAAGGGCTCCGTGATGCGGCTCCGCGGCACGCCCAGCGAGCTGAAGCGCGTCTCGGCGACCTCGATCTCCGTGCCCTTCTCCACGAGGCCCACCTTCTCCGTCGACACCTCGATGCCCTCGCGCACGATGGAGCCGTTCTTGCCCGTCACGACGCAGCGGCCCGCGGGGCCCCGGTCGCTCTTGTTGTCGCCCACGACCTCGTCCCCGCGCATGACGAACTTGGGCGGGTTCCCCATGGTGAGGCAGCCCCGCGCGGCGGACGACGACGAAAGGCCACCCGGGCCCGATGAGATTGGCGTGAGAGCCACGGCACCATGTCAAAGTGGCCTCATCAACGTGGAAGCTTTTAATGCAAAATCTCTGGGGCAGCCCACAGCCAAAACCTTGTCCCACGTCCACACAGGGCGTCCACGCCACGGTCACCCCGGCGTGACCCGTCGAGGGCCCCGGGCGGCGCGGCCCCGGCGCGTAGCGGGCGGCGCGGGAGGCGCGGCGGCGTGGGCCCGGCGGCGACCCCCGCGGCCGTCGCCGAGGTCGAAGCATGGGGGCGACCCACGGGACGCTGGAGGTCGTCGTCCACTTCCCCCGGTTCGGGAACGGGGACCTCTTCTCCCGGGGGTGCGCGCCGCGCGGACGCCGCGCGCGCCCCTGCCGCCGCGCTCGCCCGCCGGGCGATCCGCGCGCGCGCGCGCGCCCCCGGCCGCCAGTCCCGGGACCCCCCCCCCGCCGCGCGCGCCGCGCCGCGCGGGACCCCCGCCCCCCCCCCCGCAGGATCTACATGATCCGCGTGAGCACGCAGACGAAGTCGAGCCGGCAGGTCGGCATCCCCTACAGCTACTACAGCAAGCCGTCGACGCTGTCGACGTTCGTGCGGAACCAGGAGATCCCGTGCTCGCACGCCAAGTCGCTGCCCGCGGCGCAGATCGTCAACGAGACGTCGGAGTTCTCGACGCGGGCCTTCGTCATCAAGTACCGCGACGAGCGGCTCGAGCTCAACGAGGGCGTCCAGTTCCAGCTCCTCATCGAGTCGCGCGTCGAGGAGGCCAAGGACGGGTCCGGCCGCCTCGTCTTCGAGAACGACGAGCCCATCACCGTGAAGCTCGACCTGCTCATGGCCGAGCTCGAGAAGCCGTCCGAGGAGCAGCCGAATTTGAAGTACCGGGGCAACACGGTCGCCGCGGAGAAGCCGAGCAGTAGCCCGACGTTCACGCGCATCGCGAGCCAGACGATGTGCGTCGTCGGCGACGCCGCGAGCCAGCAGCTCCACGCCTACTTCCCCGCGACCTTTAGCGCCATGCACTTCTGCCAGCTGGACGTGACCGTGCACACGGCCCTCATCAACCTCAAGTTCCGCAAGCGCGCGTACTCGCGGACCGACGGCGACGCCAAGGGCGCGCCGAAGAAGGGCGCCGCGGGCGACGTGACCCAGTTCCACCAGCTCCTCTTCCCCGGCGCGGCCGGCGACGTGCCCGTCGACGTCGCCGCCGCGCGCGCCATGCACCACACCTACCTCCAGCCCATGCTCCAGAGCCTCGGCGCGACCGCCGCCGCGCTGCGGAACATGTGCGCGGACGAGCAGGCCCTCGAGGCCGCGGGGTCCGCCGTGCCGTCGTCGCGCGCCGTCGCCGGCGTCATGGCCCTCATCAAGAAGCCCTACCTCGAGGGCTCGCCCTTCAACGGCGTCAAGCTGAGCTCCGCGCCGGAGAGCGGCGAGCTCACGCCGCTCCGGCTGGCCGCGTCCATCGAGACGGACATCAAGCTCGTCGCGCGGCGCCTCTTCCTCCTCTGGGGCCGCTTCGTGGCGCTGCTGCCCCAGGAGCCCCGCGGCGAGAGCGGCCGCGCGAACGTCGCCGCGCGGCTCCAGCGGACGTGGCTCGCGAGCCAGCGCCGCTGGTGGGGGTCGCGGCTCAAAAATTCGGAGGTGCGCATCCAGAAGCTGCTCCAGCCCCGCGAGCCGGCCGAGCTCGACGGCGCCTTCCGCGAGCTCCGGGCCGCGAGCCGGCCGGGCGGGCCGCGCGCGATGCTCTCGGTCTTCGACGGCTCGATGCTCGCGGACCCGTCGCTGCTGCCCGTCGCGGCGTCCCACGTCTTCCTGCGGCGCGGCCAGAAGTTCGCGACGAGCCCCCAGCCCGTCGGGGGCATCCCCGAGTTCGAGGACCAGGACGACGACTACCGGGGGCCGCACCTCATCGTCATGCAGCACGGCTGGTACGCGTCGTCCTTCGACATGCGCCTGCTGCGCGCCTACGCGCTGCTCCTCTTCCCGCGGGCCATCGTGCTGAGCCCCCAGTCCAACGAGGACAACTCGGGGGGCTCCATGGGGCCCATGGGCCAGCGGCTCGCGCACGAGGTCCACAACTTCATCAAGCACCGCTGCGACGAGCTGAGCGACCCGGACCCGAAGATGGGCCGCCTGTCCTTCATCGGCCACAGCGCCGGGTCCATGATCGTGCGCACGGCGCTCACGTCGCCCATCTTCCGGCCCTACCTGTCGAAGCTCCACACGTTCGTGAGCCTGAGCAGCTCGCACTGCGGCAACATGTTCGTGCCGTCGACGATCATCTCGGGGGGCATGTGGGCGCTCCAGCACCTGCACCAGTCGACGTTCATGGACGAGCTCCAGCTCATCGACCGCGACACGATGAACGAGTCCTTCATGTACAAGCTGAGCCAGGCCAAGGGCTTCGAGTACTTCAAGTACGTCGTCCTCGTCGGGTCCACGCAGGACTCCTACGTGCCCATGCACACGGCCCAGGCGACGATCCCCCGGCCGGCGGAGGCGGACAAGAAGGGCGGCGGCGACGCCTACATGCAGATGGCCACGAACCTCATGAGCCCGATCTCGCAGAAGACGGCGGAGAGCGACAAGCAGACGACGGTCGTGCGCCTGACGATGGAGTACAAGTTCACGCAGACGAACCTCGACACCGTCATCGGCCGCGCCGCCCACCTCGCCTACATCGACTCGTCCGCCGCCGTCCTCCTGATACTCTTCTCCCTCTACAACCTCCTCAAGTGACCGCGGCCGAGCTCGCCGCGGCCGCGCGCGGCGGCCCGATCGCGGGGGCGCCGCGGACGCGGCCGCGCCGCCGGCCGCGCACCCCCGCGGGACACACCCCGTCGGCCTAACCCCGTCGCGAAACTGGTTTTGGGGGATTATGGCGGGGAGCTGTGGAGCTCTAGTGCGGCAACTTGAACACTTCCTCCGGACTTGCCTCCGGCCATGCGAATTACGAGCGCGCTGCCGCCCGATTAGCTGCGAGATCCGACACCGCAACTCTTACGATTCACGAGGGGTAGCGCTTCGCCGGCGGGAGGTCGCCCGCGGCGTCGATCTCCTTCCGCCGCGCGTTGAGCTCCTCCTCGAGGCCCTTGATCATGATCGCGAGGGCCGCGTCCGTGGAGTAGGCGGAGCCCCGGGGCCGCCAGAGCTGGATGACGACGCCGAGCGTGAGCATGAGGGCGCCGCTCATGAGCGCGAACATGGCGCCCTCGACGACGAGCACGCCCGGTCCGAAGTTCATCGACGCGCCCGCGGAGAGGAGCGGGAAGGAGCAGAGCTCGAGGAAGCCCAGGAGGAAGAGCAGGCCGAAGTGGAGCGGCGGCAGCTTGCGCTGCATGGCGCCCAAACGCTCGCCGCGCGCCGCCCGGAGGTCGCGGACCGTGTCGTAGATGGCGGACGGCGTGCCGACGGACGTCATCCACATGATGGCCTCGAGGGGGTCGTCGCGGGGCCGCGCGCTCAGCACGGCCGCCGGCGGCAGGTCGACGCGCTTCAGGTCCCGGTCCACGTAGGACTGGACGCAGTCGAGGACGGACGAGTAGCTCGGCCGGCCCTGGCAGACGAGCGTCGCCTGCTCTAAAAGCGACTTGGCGACGGACACCTCCTGGAAGAGCGCGCCGTAGATCTGCACCTGCTGGTTGTAGCAGAAGGCGTAGGTGTTGCCGATGAGCAGCGAGAAGAGGATGCCGATGACCGCGAGGAAGTTCTGGATGAACTGGCCCTGGTCGCCGCTGAGCACGCTCAGCGTCGCGACGCCGAGGAAGCCCCGCATGGACCGGCAGATCGTCGGGAAGAGGGCGAAGGTCAACGCGCCGACGACGAGGGACGGGATCACGAGCAGCGCCGTCGTCCGCACGAGCCGCTGCGACACGACGTCGGCCGCGAGCGGCGACGGCGGCGGCGGGGCGTCGACGGCCGCGACGAAGCGCTTCGCCGGCGCGAATTTCCGCAGCGGCGCGAGCGCGCGCCGCGGCGCGACCGGCGACCGGAACGCATGGAGCGGCGCCGCGAGGAGGGTGAGGAGAGCAAGAACACGAGGCATAGCTTCAAGGCCTCGCGGCCCGCGGGGCTCGCAGGTCAAGTTGAAGTTCAAGTAAGTTCCAGAGGCCGTGTCGAGCTCAACATCAGCTCGATGCACTAGCTGCGAGCTGCATTCAAACGAGCTGCGATGCCAGTCCGCACGCGAGCGAAATCGGGGCAGGCCCGGCGTGCGTCCATCTTTCAGACCGACCTGTGTACGCGGGTTCTCGCGCCGTGGCTCTCCCATCTGCAGGACTTCTTCCACCTCGCGATGACCAGCGCCGCTTGCTGGCGGGAGGCGAGCGAGACGCTGGAGGTGCTGGATTTATCGTGTCAGTTTCGCCTCACCGATGTGGGATTCAGCCGCGCAGTGAGGCGCTTTCCCAATCTGCGGTCAATTAACTTTGACTTCGCGCAGTTCTTCACCGACGCGACCATCATCTTCGAACTGCCGCGTCTTGCTAGTCTACGCGAGCTGAAACTCTCCTACTGCAACGTCACCATCGTGGGGCTGCGCCACTTGCCAGAGAAGCTGGAGTCGCTCACATTACCCGACAACTTGCTCTCCGACGAGATGCTCACGACGGTCGCTCGACGTTGCACTCGCCTACGATCGTTGGCGTTCGGTGGGCGCAATGCAGTCACAGACGCGGCCATCGTTGAGATCGCGACTTTGGCAGGCACTCTGAAGAAACTCGATTTGTCATTCAGCAGTGTCACGGATCTCGCTTTAGCTCATGTTGTCGAACATTGCGACTTGGAATTTTTGGACGTCTCTTTCTGTGACAACGTGACGGACGTCTCCATATTTGCAATCGCGGCGCACTGCCCGAGATTAAAAAAAACTCGCGATGCGCGCGACCCACGGCGAGAATCGAGTAACAGAGGCGTCAATTCCAGCGCTTGCGCGATGTGTATCGCTGACGTCGCTGAACTTGTGCAGTCGAAACACACTCACAGATTATTCCATCGTTCCGCTTGTCGCCCACTTGTCCCGTCTGGTAGTACTGAGTCTTCACGATTGCTCCATCGGTGACCTGACCGGTCTGGCGATCGGGCGAAGCTGCCCGATGCTCGAGGATTTGAACGTTCAAGACTCGTGTCATTTCGATGGGGGGCCGCGGGGGCGACGAGCCGGGTATGCTAAAGAGCGCGGCATCAGCGACGCTTTCATGGTCGCAGTCGCATCTGGGTGCCGACGTCTGCGTATGCTGAAGTTGTCGTCGGACATAATCTCGGACCTGTCGCTGGTGGCGCTCGCCCGCTGGAGTATCGATCTGCGACTTCTCATCTGAAAGGACGTTCGAAAGTAACGGATGTGGGATGCATGGCCCTTGCGCTGGGATGCTTGCTTCTTCGTCACATCTCCCTGATGACGGAACATGTCACCAGTCAGGGCATCGCCGCGTTCTCGGGCTTGAACTCGATTTGGCTTCACCGCACCGATCACGTTGACCTTTCCGGACTCAAAGCACTCATGCGGCGCTCGCCCAACCTCACCTCTGTGATCGCGGAGAACTGCGAGAATCTCCCAGAACCGCTGATTTATTTGATGCGGGGTGATCTCGACGAGTTCCAGCAGAGCCATCCTACGCTGATGAAAGAGTTGCGGATTCACGCGCACAGGCATGAGCGGGGCATTTCGGACATCAGGTATTTTGGTCCATTACTAGCGGGCTAAGTCTCGAACCCCACGGTCCAGTAACCACGGGCTCAGTCCATATTAGCGGCCACGGAGAACCCCGCGACGACCGCGGCGACGCGGTCCGCGTCCGGCGGCCAGCGGCGGTGGCCCGCGGCGTTCTGGAGCCAGAGGAGCTGGATGGGGCACTTGGAGATCCAGCGCACGCCCCGCGCGTCGAAGTCGTGGCCGCTGACGTTGGGCTCGGGCCGGTGCTGGAAGCCGCAGTCGAAGAGCGCGTCGTGCATCGTCTCGCCGTGGCGGCGCCACCGCGCGAGGAGCGCGTCGACGCGGCGCTGCGACCGCTGGTTCTTGAAGTAGCGCGGCAGCACCAGGACGAAGGACGTCGCGCCCTTGGGGCCCAGGTGCTCGTAGGCGTCGAGCGTCGCGCAGATGTGCTCCACGGCGCGCGTCATCGAGTTCGCGTCGTACGGCGGGTTCGCCTGGTAGGATCCCGGCGGCGGCAGCGCCGCGTAGAAGGAGCCCCGGCTCCCGAAGAAGCGGTCCACGTCGTAGAAGAGGGAGAAGTAGTCGCAGCTCCTGAAGCTCCGGTTCAGCGGCGAGCTAAAGGCCTCGCGGTAGACCTCGAAGCCCGACCGGAGCGCGGCGAACGCGGCCGCGGGGCACGCGGACAGGTGCCCCCCCTTGAAGCGGAAGAGCGTCTCGTAGCGGTGGACGCAGCAGAAGACGCGCGCCAGCAGCCGGCCCTCCCGCGCGCGGCCCTCGCGCGCGTGGAGCCGCGCGAGCTCGTCGAAGTGGCCCCGGCGCAGCTTCGCGGCCATGGCCGCGCCGCCGCGCGTCGCGTAGACCTCGACGGACGGCGCGCCGTCGGGCGCCGGGTCGATGGCCCGCAGGGCCAACCCGAGCGACGCGTCGGTCCAGCGGCCGCCGGGGGCCTGGTTGTTCGCCGCGCGGCGCGCCGTCGCGCCCGCGAGGCGCACCGCGACGCCCGCGTCGCCGAACTTGCGCAGGAGCCGCCGCGCCGCCTCGCGCGCCCAGGCCTTGTCGCACTTGTCCGCGGACCCCGTGTAGCCCTCGCGGCTCATGCGGTTGTAGAAGGCCTCGATCTGGTCCGCGCAGTGCCGGAGCAGGTGCGCGGCGCACTCGGCCGCGCCGCGCGCGGCCGCGTGCTCGCTCATCTGCTCCACGGACGGCGGGAAGAAGGGGTCGTTGACGAGCGACGCGGGCCCGCTGTAGAGCATCCAGAAGTGGAAGATCGTTTTTTGAAGCACGTCCGCGGCCTCCTTCTTCTCCAGATAGCCAAAGTCGCGGACCGTCGCGGGCGCGCCGCCCGTGCGCCGCCGCGCGAGGCGGCAGAGGTAGACGATGAGCTGGTCCACCTTGGCGCCGCGCAGGATGGCCGCGCTCGGCAGCTCCTCGTCGTCGCCGCCCGCGGCGCGCGCGGGGTCCTCGGCCGGCGCGAACGACGGGAGCTCGTCGTCGTCGCCGCCGTCGATGTCCGGCGGCTCCTCGGGCGCGCGGTCCGGGCTCCGCGGCGGCGTCGACGCCGCCGGCGAGTCCGGCGCGAAGGCGCACGCGTCGGGCCAGTCGTCGGAGCACACGCTCGACGCGCGCGGCCGCGGCGCCGCGCGCGCGCCGTCGCCGAAACTCTCCGCGCCCAGCGCCGCGGCGACGGCGGCGTCCAAGTCCCTGTCGAGCAGGCCCCCGCGGGCCGCCGGCGCCGGCTCGTCGTCGTCGTCGTCGTCGCCCCAGCGCGCGCGCGCGCGCGCCGGCGGCTCCGCGCGCGCGGGCGCCGGCGCCGGCTCCGCGGGCGCGGGGGCGTCGTCGCCCGCGTCGGAGACGTCGGACGCGTCGGACGCGGAGTCGTCGCCGTCGGCGCTGACGACGTAGGCGGAGATGGCCCAGTACGTCGGCGCCGACGGCGAGTTCGCGGCGGCCGCCGCGGCGTCGAGCTCCGCGGCCGCGGCCTCCGCCGCGGCCTCGGCGTCCGCGAGGGCGCCGCCGGCGTCCGCGAGGTCCCGCGCCGACGTCGCGACGTCGGCGCCGTCGAGCAGGGCCGCCTCGCGCGCGTCGCGCGCTTTCCGCGCGGACGCCGCGAGGTCCCGGCGCGCCGCGGGGTCGAGGTCGCCCGCGTCGTCGAGGATGGCCTCGAGGAGCGCGACGCGCTCGCCGAGCTTGCCCAACAACGACGCGCGCGCCGCGACCCTCGCCGCGTGGGCCTCGCGGAGCTCCGCGGCGCGCGCGGCGGCGCGCGACCGCTCGCCCGCGCGGTCCTCGGCCCGCCGCTCGAGGCGCCGCAGGCGCTCGCCGAGGGCCGCCGGGTCGCCGCGCGCCGCCGCGCCGGGCCCCGCGAGCGCACCCGCGCGGAGCGCCAATAATTCGTCGCGGCCGTAGCGGAGCGCGCCGCCGCCGCGGCGCCGCCGCTCGTCGACCGCCGCGGCGTCGGCCTCGACGGCCGCCGGCGCCGGCGGCGGCGGGCGACG